AGTCCAGTATAAAGTTTGAGGGTGCTATCACTTCCCACTGTTTTTCACAGATGTGTTTTAATTATCTCAAGTACTGGAGCATATTCCTTATGGGAATAACAAGTTCATTCTAGACTTCACAAAAGACCAATGAAAGGACATTTTGGCTAGGGTTTTATTAACCTTGTGCAGACATTGAATTGTTTCATTTGAATTCACAGGTATCCTTTAATGCAGCATTTAAGGGACCCAGAGTGGACCAGTATTTTCCTTTGTAAGGGATATGTAATTTGTTCATTTTAATGGAGTATCTCAGCATAAGGATTTGGAAACAGTGAAGTCTCACTTATTCCAGGTATCCCAGCTGAAAGGGGGGAAAGATGGTTGCACGGATCATGTTGCCAGATTCAGAGGAGAAAAATACAGGATATTCCCCCATTAAATTTTAACTGCAGGTAAGTTTTTTTTTCAATGTGAGGAAATATACTAAAAATATTTTTATCTGAAAGTTGAATTTCACTGAGTGTGCTGTATAGCATCTGGGAACACTAAATAAATAGGTATGACTAAATCGAAGGCAGTAAGATTAACATTCTATACTCAGCTCATGGACAATTGCAGCTTGGTTTTGGGCATAATCACATAGGAAGATCACTGAATTAGTGTTGCAGAACCAGGTTAGGTGTACAGCAAACAGTGGTGAAGAGCAGTGCATGCTTGTTCTTTGAGAACCATGTTGGAACCAGCTGATGTTGACTGCCCTTGAGTAACTCCCATATAGCCATGGCAGCTCATCTTGCTTAAGAAAACCCAGTTTTCAGGGAGTAATGGTTTGTACAGAGGTTTTCATGAGAAACTTAAAGCAAAATTTCATATTGGGAGCAATAATTTTAGGAGTATCCTGGTTCTGTTGCAGATGGGAGACAAATGTGAATTTAGTGAACATAAGTATGTAATGATGGAGTAAATGATGTGATGTTTGATAATTTGGGGAAGCATGGGCATGCAACAAGCTGAATAATTTGTGGAAACCCAGTAAGTTCTAGAACACATTCTCTAATAATTTCCAAAAGCAATCTTTAACAAAAATATAATTTCCAATGACATTTTACGGCCAAATTTCAATAGCAAATGTTGATGAATTAAGGCTGATCAGGATGTGCCCTTTTTCTTTAGGATAAGTTTGATTTTTGATATAACACACTTACACATACAAGCACGTAATTTTGACTTACACACAAATACACGTTTAGAACTAATCTCTACAAAATTGTATCAAGTAAAATAAAGATTACATAATTTAACAGATTCAGTTAACATGTTTTACAAATTGTACAGAATATTTTAATCATTGTCATTGGGAAAACAAACAATTTTTAGAGCATTACTTAAAAGTAACACAGGAGCCACCAATACATTATGGCAATTATAACATAGCATTTTTACACCAGATGTCACTGAAATCTAATTGAAAACAAACTGTTGGAAAACAAAATGCCTTTATGAACTTTACTGAGCATATCCAGAAGGACATTGTGCATTATTTTCTATTATCAATTCAAACTGGGAGCACAATGGAGCTCCCATTTGCTTGAGTGACTAAAGGTTAGGAGATTGTGTGATTGGACCTGTAAAACTTGCAGAACTGAAAAATACGAAAGTTTCCTGAGACTTGCAACTTTCCAATCTGAATTCCTAAACAGCAGAGAATCTGGACAGATAATTTTATTTAAAAGCACATTAGAACCTCAAAAAAAAAAAAAACTTAAACATAACTTTAAGTGAATATGTGTGTTTACAATTTATTCCTCAACCTTCAGTTTAATATACAATGTAGTTACCCTGTTACTGCCACTCATTGCCTATTTTTATAATGGCCTTAATTTTCATTGATGTTCCAGTGATATTTCTCCTCTCACTAATGTGGGAGATACTAATTTTAGGAGTTAAAACAGCAGTAGAATCCAGCAGTTATTTAATTCTAATCGTGTGTGTGTTTGCTTATGTATGCATTTACAGGTACATGAATGCCGAATATTTTCTGCTCCAATACATTCACTGTTAGGTGGTGCTCCAAGAAAAGTGGGTTTTCCCAGTATGGCTAAAAGTGAGTATTGAGGTCATCAGATAGGGTATCCTAAGGCTTTTGAAAGATGCCTCCTTATTCTCTGCACTTGTTTGAATGTGTAGTAATAGGGAGACAGAGACAACTATATTGGTTCTTCAAAATTACAGGAAAGTAAAAATTATAATCTTTGCATATTTTCCCTTATCCCATCCTCTCCTTGATTTTTAATGTTGGAGTTAATTATGACTTTCTTTTGCCTGGCAGGACTTGCAATGTCATCCTTAAGAAAAAAGCAAAGCCAAAAAGTCCACCAAGATGTGGCTACTAGCATCCTGAAGCCTCTCGGTAGCCCTTGAGCTCTTATCTCTACGGAAAGACGGCCTAAGACAGTGGAACATAGGCTGAGAGCAAGTTTTGTTTCCACCTTACCATTTATTAGCCTAATGTCTCTATTAAGGCCTGCAACTTGCTTCCTGTGTGTGCTTTAGGGAGTCAGTGGATAGAAAACAGCCGAAGACACCTGCCCTCCCTTTCCAAGCAGTCCATCTAGCAAATTCTCAGTTCTCTTGCTCTTCTGCCATCCTGTAGAAGTTAAGGCAAGTCCATCTCCACTCCACACTTGCTGCATGGCTGATGACTGAAGAGAATCCACCGTGTGGCTGGAAGGTACCTTTTTGTCTCACATGGTTTCTTTGTGAATGTCAGTCATAGCAAGAAACAATTTTTCCCCTGTTAAAGTGCTCTAATGCTTCATTTTTTTCCCCAGCACCCAAATGACAAATATTACGAAGTTAATTCTAAGCAAACATTATAGGAAATTAGAAAAAAGTAAATTGTAGTAACTCCTAAAATTTCTTAATTTTTCATTAATGTGTTGAAAGTCTTCTGTCATTTTTAAGGTAAATCCTTGAGTCATTGCAAGTCTGCTTTGCTAAAGATCCTGGTGAAGGATGCATAATTAATAGAGAAAATACACCAAAAGTAAATTTACAGGATGCATATTTCCATAATGCTATGAAAAAATTGCTATTCAGTTTACATATAAAACATGAAAGATTGAAAGGCAATAAAATAAGAAGGCGGGGCCAAGGGAAAGAAGGGAACTATTTTTGTAAATGAAGTACCAACCTAGGGTGTTGTACAAAAATATTTTAAACCTTTGTCAACCCTATGGTTAAACATGTTGTATTATTGTAGTTTCAATGATCTGTGATTTCTTTAAAATGTATCTGGATATATATACTACAGTACACATTAATTTTTCATTCAATTGTTTAGCCTTTTTTTTTACTTGTTAATCATTTAATAAAGCATTTAGCCATTTTATTGGAATGTTAAGTTAAAATGCTGTCTCAGAAACAAAGGAGAAAAGGGGAGTGGCTACCACTATATTCTGAGAATTAGATCTATAAACTATTGAAAAAACTAGTTAATTTTTAAAAAAGTAAGGTGCAACAAGTCATACTTGCAAAGTTAATTCACTCAATTTTATACATTTTTAAGGATTGCAGTTTTAGTAATCCTAGTGTTTTAACTTGAAGAGTTGTACTATGTCCCTATTTCCATGCGTCTGTGCTTTTGGGTCTGCTTGCACACACGTGGGTCAATGTTGGAATGTTGTGTATGGGCATGTGTGTTCACACACCTGCAGTGGAGCAACCTCTCTTTCATGTAAGCATGCTGCTTGGTCTACAGCAGGTACCCCATGCTCTCCAGTATAAATATTTCCTATTCCTTCCCTGCAGTCAGTAACAAATGCTGTGTTCTTGTCATGAGTGCTTACAATCTGGATACATCTAATGTGCAAACCAACAGGCTTATCTGGGTGAAGAAATGAAGTCATTTGACCTGCTATTTACATGAATTAAAAGCTGAGGTCATGGCATCACTTCTCTTTGGCATGGGTTATAGAAAACTTAGAATTCTATGGGGGGAAAAAGCCTCACATATTTTTGTGAAGTGCATGCATAATAGCTACTGTGCACTTTTTGGGATAGTATTATAGCTGTTGAATAACCACCCCAAATTAAAGGATCACTGCTCTTTTTGCAGAGCAGCAGCATCAGGTGGTAGGCCACAGAAACCTCACGGGAACCTCGTGCCTTGGCTTTCATCTTGTTCTCAGGGAAGATGGAGCCCAGAGGTGGTGAGTCAGTGCCAATGTAAAACAAGACTGTCCTAACTGTAGGGATCAAGAATTTCCTAAAGATATTGAACATCTGTGGATTCATGGGTCCAGTTCCCAAAACACTGCTCTAATTTCCTCTGCCTGCCTTACAAATTAAAATCCTGAAGCATCTTCAAAATATGTGTAAAAATTTATGATTTAGAATTACGTATGTGGAAATCATAATTGGAAAGCTTGCACAGTGTTTCCTTTTTTCTTTTAATCATGCAACTATTGAGGACTTTTAAAAGACTTGTTTGAACAGTTTCCAATTTTAACATTTGTAATGACTTAACACTAACTGGGCCTTTTCTGAGAGATGCTATTTTAATTCTGCAAATTTTTAAATCTAGTATCTTTCACTACGGCCTTGGCACTCCTAGTTAAGAAAAAAAAATTGTACTCCATATTTATAGCTGCCTTAAATAGAAACACTGTAAAACATTTTCATAACACAAAAATCACTAATTATGGCCTCCAAAATTACTGATGCATAGGACCTAATTTGATGGATTTGGATTTTTTTTTCTAAGACTAAAAGCTCGCTGTGATTTCCCAACAGATAAGAACTACAGATCATTATACCAAGTTCCACAAAACAAATTTCAGCATAGCAATGCAATACACATTATGTTGGACATTTGTTTTGAATGAAAGAGGAAGCACGACATTGAGAAAATATACACAGTGTAAGAGTCCTAGAAAGTGCACTCAAGTAAACACTCAAATTTTACGTTACAAAGACTAACTTTGAAAATGAAATCCACTGGTCTTTTTAGTATCCTTAATGAGAAATAGATTGTTCTCATCACATGGGGAATGAAATATCTTTAGCAACGCAGAGTATGGCAATAAGCACTGAAGAAATGGTTTTCTCCCTTTTCCCACCCACTAGTAGCCCTAATCCCTTCAGAGACTCAGTGGAATGGGCAGGTCATAGCGTTTACAGGTAACAGTAATACAATAAGTCTTGTCTGTCTTACTCATGGGCACTCCAAACAGTATTATCAAGTGTTGGCTTCTCCTTCATCAAAGACGTAGTTGAGCTTTATGACAGTGCTGATGAAATCCCCCAGTTCGACAAAATCAGCAGTGACAATATTGATGCCACTCTCTCCGGGCTTCTGTGTGCGAACCCAGTGCATCATGGCTGGGAGAGCTCTGAGAAAAGAAACAAGAAGTGGAGTCACACAAGGTAATGTATTGCTTTTCTAGCTTATTTTTAGAATTTCCCAAGTGTTCATAGAGATGTAATATATAAAAGGCCAGTCAGGCAATGGTGAGTTCTTGAATTTGAAGACATTACATGATATGCAGGCATCATATTATTCCAAATTATTGGCGATCTCAGATAATGTTATTTATAGTGCAATATCCTATAGTAAAAAAAAAAAAACATGCTTTAGCATGGCATGGTCACAAACTCTATGCAGCAATGGGTTACAAGGCCAGAGGCAACTATATGTGCTTTGTAAGCACTTAGAATATTCCCTGAAAACAGTGGGTTTATAATATATATATGAATAGCCCTAACAAGAGTATTGTCCTTTACAAAAATTCAGTTCTAGAGTAGAAAGTAGGACAAAAAATTCAATTGTCGTACAATATGACTAATGCTTGTTCTTTCAACCATATGTACTGCATACCTATTTAGTTAGTTTCCATTGTAACCATTTAAAATAATTGTTACAGAGCTTACAACCTCAACAAGAGAAATACAATGACGCTAAGTACCTTATATACTTTTGCAGAAAGGAAGATGGAACAAGAAACGAAGATTAGGAGATGGAGGTTATGGATCTCACCTGAAAGTAAGTTGGACTCATTGATGAGGGAGATGTCTGTGGGATTGTCTAGGGAGAGAAACTCAAATATTCCTTAGGCTTAGCAATACTTGAGAAAGCAAACTGGGCTAGATTTGTGTGGGTACTATAGGCCACTGTAAGGGGCTAGATATGTTCTCTGAGTAACACTGAGGGCCTTGTGATCTGGCTCACTACGAAAGCTCCTACATTATCATGGGATCATAGAGGAGTGACCTAGCTCCTGGAAAGCCAGGAGTGAGCATTCAGAGGCATGCCACCCTGAGCTAGATGGTGAGGGATTCCAGAATGGGCATGGAGGCTAATGGCAGTGCATTTCCAGGCACAGGACAGAGACAGATACAGGTTGATGATACACATTTCCTTCTCACTGCACATTAGAGAGAAACCTACCAGGGCTTGAGCAGGATACAAAAGGAGTTTCATAAAAAGGGCAAGATGTTAAAGTGTGGGAGGAAATATTTGTGAATTCCTGGGGTGACATAGAAAGATGTCCTAGTTATTGACAAGAGAAGAAGCAACTAATTGATAGATGGTTTCGAAGAATGTGAACCAACTGAAAGTTGTTTCCCAGGGAAAGTACATGGCTAGGTATTCTTAAATGAATGAGAGAAAACCAAAAGACAGGCACAGATCACAATTAGTTGTTGAAGTAATTCCATCAGCTGCAACAGTAACTTGAATTAGACACAGCCATGAATATTTGTGAAAATGACTAAGATGAAATGACATGAAATGTAGTATGGGCAAGAAACGGAGAGCACATGAGGCCATGAATGAAGCTTGGATGTCTAGCAGAACTCTGGCAGACATACACCATCGCCTGTTCTTCAAAACAGAAGCCAGCCTTTCAGTGGAGGTGGTAAGTTTGGTCTCGAGTTTAGATCTCAAGGACAGTTAAGCATATGTCTGATATTCAGGGCTGAAAAGGGATCAGAATTCATGGTAGCTATGAATGAGAAGAAATCAGGAGGGCAAAAAAGGAAGGCAGACAGTACTTTTGGAGGCTTAAGGGAGAGTGGGCAGTGTGAAATGTGAAGTGCAGCACACACGCCTTTGTCCAGATTGCAGAAAATGTCTAAACAAACCCAACCCATTCAGAAAAAAACTGAGCCAACTGCCTTGGATCACACCAGCAATATCTTAAAAGTTTTTCTGATTTATGTTTTACATCATACACTTCTTCCTGTTAGAGACAGCGAAGGAGTTAGTTGCTTACAAAGCACTGTAATATGAATCCTCAAGGCCTTCAGTTAACAGGTGAGCAGGAGGAATAGGAACAGTTTTAAAACATTCTGTCTTAGAATGAGAAGTCTGGGTTCATGATCTGTCCAAACTCATCAGGCAGCCAGCTGCTGCGGCAATGTATATGCATCCTTGAATTTCATTCCTCTCGCTCACTCTCCTGCATTTGCTAGAACAGATGAAACACTTCTGTCATTTTAGAAAAGGCAAACAATGTCTGGAAAGAGGATCAGAACTGATTCCTTTCCTCAGACACTCATGGGGGGGGTAGGGTTATAGTGATGTGGAATCAAGCCCTAATTCTTTGCATCTTAGATTAAAATTCTTGGTCCACAATTGAGAATTAGTTGTTATCCTATTTCTCTTTCCTGCTCAGACAGAAATTTCCTGAAATCAACAAGCTACCCAAACAAAACAACCATTAGGACTAAGTTGAATTTCAAATGCTAAAGTACAGAATTATGTTAAACCAAGACTCACCTAGTAATGCTACTGACCATTAATTTAGACTATCATTTCCTAACTGTCCCAAGTGAGTTTTTTAACCACTTGCCCTCCTCCTCCATGAAATTTTAATGCTGCAAATAGACTGCATATCCATTTATATATACTCCTACTTGGCTTGTATATCTGTGATATATCCAAAGAATAAGAATTTTATTTGCCTCTCAAGAACCAGTTTTTCCTGTATGGGGGAAATATTGCCACTGAGGGTGTTTGATTTACAACTAATTGGCAAGTTCTCAATTACATTTGATGTTGCAAAATAATTAGGATAAATTGAGAAGTCTGCTCCAGTGGTGATAAAATTCCACCAATTTTCCCAATGTAAGATTGCTATTAGCAACCCCAAGCAGACTAAAAAGTAAATGTCTTATTAACTGCATGGATTATGCTATTTTGTTTTCAGTTTTGGAGGCTACTATGTCCAAGATCAAGATGCTGGAGATGGGGTGTGTCCAAGTTTCCTGATTCATAGACGGTATCTTCTCACTGTGCCCTCATGTGGTGGAAGTGCAAACAACTCGTCTCTTGCCTTTTTTTTTGGTAATACATCATCTGTGAGGATTCTAAGTTATGACAATCACCTCCTCCAAAACCTTAACTCTTAATACCATCAATGGCATACAGATCATGAAAACACAAAGAACTCCAACTTCCAACTGCTTTTGTTGTTTCAAGCCATCCATCCAAGACCAACCAAGCACCTAAGAAAGTGTGTGTCAGTTGTAGCTCCCCCAAGTCATACCAGGTACCTCATTTCCTGTAGAGTTCTTGGCAATGTCTCACCCTATACTTATTGTGCTTTTTCTACACAAAAGCTTATCTTAAAGGCTTGTGATTATTATTCCTCTCCAAGAATAACTCAAAACCTTGTTCTGATCCTGAACATAACCTTTTTCTTTATATGTCATATTCCTTACTCCTAGTTTGTTGAACATACACAACAGACAATGCTAACTATCTCTCCCTGGCTATTTCTAGCAGCAGCTTCACCCTTCTTACCACTGATGATTATTATCTGATTTTCTATATCCTGTGTACCTCTAGAATCCTTATCACCTCAGAGGAAAACACATTTGTTGAATTCCAATTGTTTACAAGAAATCTTGGGCTCAGATGTCTCCAAGCGGAACAGGTAACCTAGTCATGATGCTACAACTAGTCCCATAGGTGTGAGGACAGAATTCTCTGGGACTATATAGTAAATCCAATAATTCATTTCGTTTGAGAGAAATGGAGGAGGATTTTAAGGAACCCATCAAAAAACAGGACATTGGCAGAAGAATGAATATCCAAACTATTGGCCAAATCTTCTGAAATATCAAGCCAAAAAAATTAGGAAACCTGAAATAGAGTGTTGAGTCCTTCTTGGCCTCCTTAACAGCATTCAAAACCTCCAAATTTCAGGCTTTTGGTATTTCCAGATGAGGCCTCCTGGAAATGTCAAAGGATTCACTTCTCATTCTGTACAGACAACAACTAATTAGGCTGTTTGTGCTATATTTAAAGTTCTGTTGAGACACAAAGTGGTGTGAAATTTTATGCTATGATACTGTATAATGCTACTGATATAAATGTTCTAAGACTAAAAGTCCAGTGACTTTGTAATTAACAGTATGACTAGAAACAAAGGCCTAGAGCTCCTAAAGGTTGAAGTGTGTATAAATCCTGTATGTGCTTCCTGAAAAACAATATAGACTAAAAACCTCTCCCTGTTGGTTCATGAGATTTATGGTTCCTGCTATAACTGCTTGAAGTCTTGCCATTCACAATTCTCTGGAATCTAAATTGGACTTTAGAGTCCTTTGGCAAAAATCTTAAAGTACCTAAAACTAAAGTATTGGATAAACCTGGTTATTAAAGTATAACTTTAATTGTTAGGTTTAACAGATGAATATTTTCTAAGCATATGTACACTTGCCTCAAATCTATAGAAGGCATTGGAGCTTTAGGTAAACATTTTACCAAGTTCTTACTTGACATTGTTACCGAGAGTAATGCCATCTGATGATTCTGACTTCTCTCCATTTCTGCTCTAATCTTGGGTGGGAAACTGATTCCATTCTGAAGGACTCTCAGGATGCACAGTTTGCTATCCAGATCTAAGGGCTTAAATTATAATTTCATAGCTAGAAAGACTTAGGAGTGAGCATCCCCTTGACTCACATTCTAAAGGCTGCCTCTGTGGTCTACTTTACCAGAGGCCAAGAGAAAAGGAGTGAGATACGCAGCAAAAGGCCAATTAATGTGGCTTGATGGCATGGTGTGCCATCAAGGACACCCAAAGCCAGTCTGCTAAATAGCACTTACTTGCAGTGTGGGAAGCCAGCTTCCAAAGAGCCCTGCCAGCTCTGCCAAGAACCAAGCCACTGGCAACAGAACCACGCTTGAGGTTGAAGGACTCTAGGGCTGGAACTGCAGACCCTGTGGGCCTCAAGCTAAAACTCCCTTCACTCTGTCCAGCTTCCAAAACAACCATTGCTGCAGAGAAGATAACCCAAAGTCAGCAGAGAGGAGATGAAACTGAATTTGTGCTTCACTTCCTATTCAGATCAGCTCTCCTCACAGTCAAGCCAGGTACTGGGAGTC